TCCCTTCTGCGGGGGGTGGAGAGGCCCAGGTGCCAGGTGGCCTTCCTGGTGCTGACCAGCGAGTTCCAGGTGGTTGGCTGAGAGGGTGTGTCTGGGAGTCTGTGGTTCTCCTTTAACATAAGTGGGTACTAATTAAAAATACATTTCTTGCCCTGGCCGGTGTCGCTCAGTGGGTTGGGCATTGTTCCAGGCACCAGAAGGTTGCCGGTTTGATTCCGGGTCAGGCCACATGCTCAGTGTGCGGGCACATTCCCAGTAGAAGATGTGCAGGAGGCAGCTGGTCCATGTTTCTCTCTCATCGATGTTTCTAACTCTCTATCTCTCTCCCTTCCTCTCTGTAAAAAATCAATAAAATATTTTTTTTAAAAAAAAGAGGGTAATGAAATTGACATGTTCATGTTGTAGTTAGAGACTTTTTTTTTTTTTACAAAATTTGAGGAAGCAGTTAAGCAACAGGTATTAATAGCCTTAAAAATATTCATGTACTATGTCTTCTGAACATCTCTGTTAAATGATTTTGTATGAAAAATGCTTTGAGGAAGAAGACTCTAGTTATGGCATTTATAATAGGAAAAACATTAGAATAGGATCAGATTAATTATGATTTAATCTAGCCAATGAAAGATTAAATAGCTATTGGAGAGGGAATTATTCACAATGACTATACAATATGAAGAAATAAATAGTGTTTAATTTTTAAAGTGCTAAAAGCCACCAAGCTCCTGGCCAAGAGCTAGGAGGGAAACCATGTCCTCTGGACCTCCTCCTACTGATGCTCTGTCTTTATAGGACTTCTCCTCTCTCTTCCACAGTCTGCATTCCTTGCACTCACTTTGCTCTCAGAATTCTTCTTAAGGCACAGCAGATAGTCCTTCCTTCTCTTTTCTCTCCAGACCAGGTTCGATTCTGTCTACCTGAGAGATGCAGTTCTTATTGCATCAGGTTGTGACTTCTCTTTGCTAGTGGTCTGTGTTCCAGTCCTTACTATTTTGTCTCCCTCTTGATCTGTCCCTTCATCTTTCCTATAAATCCGTGGTTCTCAACCTTTTGGCCCTTTAAATACAGTTCCTCATGTTGTGACCCAACCATAAAATTATTTTCGTTGCTACTTCATAACTGTAATGTTGCTACTGTTATGAATCATATTGTAAATATCTGATATGCAGGAGGGTCTTAGGTGACCCCTGTGAAAAGTCGTTCTACTGCCAAATGGGTGCGACCCACAGGTTGAGAACCGGTGCTATAAATAATGGCAGGGCCTGTTTAGACTGGGCATGTTGATATCTGTTCTCTCAGAGGGTTCCTTTGATACAACCATCTCTCACATCCCTTTATGCCATTTGTCAGCCTGGCATTTGCTGCTACAAGAGGCATATCTTTTTGGTCTCATCTCTGTTGCTAATGTTAATGGTGTTAACCCCTTTGATGTCTTTCTCTACTAGCTGGCTCTGTAGGCCTCAGCAGTCAGCAGCCTCTAAGTCATAATCACAGGTCAACTGACACTAAAGAGGGCTGCTGGGTGAGGAAAGGAAGGGCAGACTGCTTCCAGCCCTGCCCCCAGCTGATCTCAGTACAGGCATGACCTCTCCAGCCTCAGTTCCAGCAGAGAGAACGAACACAAAGGATTGGGATCTCACCGATCTCTTTCAACTTAAAAAATGGTTAGGAGGGCACCAGCAAGCCTCGCGCTCTTCCCGGGTTTGGATCTAACTATCCAGCTGTCCTGGCATTGAAATTATAAAACTCAAGCAACATTCAGTTCCCATCAGAGCCAACAGGGGTTCTCTTGGGCCAAAAGATAATGACCCTCTCCCCATACTTGACCTCCTATTACCATAAGGAGACATGTTTTTAATTGTAAGGCGTTAATTCTAGATGCATGAACTTTGTGTTTTGCAAATATCTTGAGGACACTTGAAAATGATGCAGGGTTAAATAGATGTGGCTTCTGATGTTTGGCGATGGGAGTAGCTATTACTAGTGGCCCCACTCAGTAAAGTTGGTAGCTACCTAGTGGTCACACACCCTGGGAGAGCTCTTTGCCCTGTGGTTCCTGAGCATGGTGCTGTAGGGTGATTTTATGAGATGGTTTTAGTCCTTGGTATAGCTTATTTAACATGAATGCAGAAGGATTGTGCAGACTCTTGTTGAAGGAATCCCACTGCTCAGCCCCACAATCACCACAGCGTCCAACACAAAACCGTCCAAATAAACGCACGACACTTGCTTCGTCCTATGTCTTACTAACCAGTTGCCTTCATATTCCTTCTGCCCTAACAGCTGCTGCAAGAGTGAAAAACAAACAAACAAAGAATCCACTGAGCCTGTCCTGACACTCTCATGAGCATCCCCAGGGGCAGGACACCTGCCGCCCCTGTCCTCAATGCTGTGACCAGTGTCCTGTCTCAGAGTTAGATTCTTCTAGAACGCTTGCTGCAAACCTCAGTATTAAACATCAAAAACTGCATTAGAATGGACCTATACTGGTTTCTGAAATTTTCACATTTATCAAATATTTTTCTCTATGTAACTAAATATATACATTCAGTAACTGATCATCGGAATTAGAAATAAGTGCCCAAATGGTGTGGCTCAGTGGTTGAGCGTTGACCCATGAACCAAGAGGTAACTGGTTTGATTCCCAGTCAGGGCACATGCCCGGGTTGCAGGCTCCATCCCCAGTGGGGAGTGTACAGGAGGCAGAAAAATCAATGATGTTTCTTTATCATCGATGTTTCTATTCTCTATCCCTCTCCCTTCCTCTCTTAAAAAAAATCTTTAATTTTTTAAAAAAATAAGAATATTTTTAAAAATAGGAATTATAAGTCAGTCATTCCCCAAGTTGGAAAATAGAACTGTCTACCCAGGAAAGAGTTAGAGTTTATCACCCTTGATTATAAAATGCATATGCCTTCTCCACGATATAGTCATAGCATTATTTTTAATGACCCAAACACTTTTTAACAGACTTCAAAAAAATAAATTGGAATCAATTTTTCTATCGTAGAATTTCACTGTTCCTTCTGGTGACCTATTGATGTTGTCTCCATTTTGGCTACATAGAAATCCAAAATATTTTCCTGAACCGGAATCTTTCAAACCCGTAAGTTACTTCTTTCAATATACATGATTCTTTGATTTTAATTTCTTTTTGTGCCAGGAGTATGAATTCATAAATTAACCAGGACTTTGTCATTAAGCAGAATATTTCTCTAGTAACAAAGGTGACAAAATACAGATTGGATTTGCAATATAGATGGCATAACATATATAACAAATCAGATAGGCAAGTTCCTGGAATAAGCTTCAGCAACTTTACAGTAAATTTTTATCTGAAATCAGCAGAGCATGTTAAAGTAAATAGGCCTGGTTCTGATAGAAGACTGAGTTCATGTTCTTCAGGCGATTGTTCTCGTTATTGGTTTCCAAGGGGCACAAAAAATAAAAATGAAACAAATTAAAACTGTGTTCTGCTGTTTCTTAGAATTGGGGGAGTGTCTGGGCTGAACTGAATCTTAAGAGGCCATTTGATCTATTCTCTGCCTTCAGGTGAAACTGTCAAAAATAGCCTCCAGATGTATCCATTCTGCATCCAGGCTCCCTCCAACAGGGCTGTCAGCAGCTGTCTGTTACTAAATTTATCACCAAGGGCAGTTTCAGGATGGAGCGTGAGGCCCCATTGTAAATACTCTTCCTCTCTGGAGCCAGTCCTGTGGTTGATTTACATCATCATCTACATTTGCCACTTAACAGAATTCTTCTTAAACCCTTTTATTTATTAGTTATGTTCCAAAAGCATCATCGTGGCTGATATTAATAACAGGTCGGAAAAAATGACCAACAAGCCTGCAACTTTATATGCAAGGATTAGCTGTACAAGGTCATTTTTAGCCTAGAGAAATAAAGTTAAGCTTATTTATATAAGGCTGATTTGGAAAAAAAAATGTTTTCTTCCCACAGGAACGTTGGAAAGAGGCAAATTTAGAGAAGCATGCTTTCTTGGACGGCTTCGTGGCCTTTGGAAGCGGGAAGTACCAGTGTCCAGGAAGGTCAGTGAGACAGCCGGGCCACGTTCCTCACAGAGTCTGTGGGGAGATGCTGGCGCAGAGTGGGGGAGCTCTGGCTCAGTCTGTCTTTTCTTTATCATCAAACCACAGGGAAACCAGAGACCGTGTTTTGTTTGGTTGGCCGTTCGTATTGATGTCTTTGTGAGAATGTCTAAAGTGCCTTCCGATAGGAGACCTCGGGAGAACAAAGTATCACAGTTCCAGCTGCCAGATGCACTCAGGGTTTATGTTTCAAATGCTCAGCTCTCATATAAGGATAACTCAAAAGTCATTTGAGTTTCACCTTTTTTAAAGCTAAAGATAGAGGTATAATATTTCTTTTTTTTAAGTATATTTTTACTAGAGGCCTGTTGCACGAAAAGATTCATGCAATAGGCCTTCCCTTCCCCTGGCTGCCAGCACCGGTTTTCCTCTGGCACCCAGGACCCAGGCCTTCGCTGCTCCGGCTGGAGCCGCCTTCAGTCTTCACTCCAATGCTTCCTGCCTGCGTATGCAAATTAACTGCCATCATTGTTGGCGGTTAATTTGCATATCTTGCTGATTAGCCAATGGGAGGCATAGCGAAGGTACAGTCAATTACCATGGTTGTCTATTATTACATAAGATTGACTTCAGACAGGCAGGGAGGGGGAAAGGGAGGTAGAAACATCAATGATGAGAGAATTATTGACCGGCTGCTTTCTGCATGCTCCACACTGGGGATTGAGCCTGCAATCCAGGCTTGTGCCCTGACCGGTTATCTAACTGTGACCTCCTGGTTCACAGCTTGATGCTCAACCACTCAACCACACCTGCTGGGCAGGTATAATATTTCTTTAACGACAGCCTTATCGTAGACATTTGTTGAGGGTTCAGAATGTCTTTAGCATGGAGCATAGCAACAGCTTACTAAATGGCTTTTATTTATTGGGTTAGGTTAGTTCTGTCAGAATTTTCTTTGAGAGCTTTTAAGCAGACACTTTTTTTAGCATCTCGCCATTGCCAGGCCCTCTGCTAAGCCTCAGGGACAGAGCAGTAGGGAAGGCAGACATGGTCCCTCACCTCATAAAACTTGCACTCTGCGTTAAACAAGTCCCATTTCTTCATTGCTGCTGACTCTGCTAGAGGATTATTGGTACCATTCTACTAGAGGATTATTGGCACCATTCTACTAGAGGATTATTGGCACCATTCTAATAGAGGATTTTTGGTACCATTCAATTAAAAGATTATTGGCACCTGTTTGGAGCAGAATCTCACTCAGTGGATGTACAGAGTCCTTAAAAATCATATATCAGAAAAGTTGTAGTTTCTTACTTAAGAAGTCAGTTGTCTTTCTTGTTTGAATAGTAATGTCCATCCATATTTGCAATTATGACTTACTCCACAGCATCCGCTCTACCCCTTTGTTTCGTGTTTGTAGTATCAATATGCTTTTAGTAATATACACCTCCCCCAAATGGTTTTAGTTAGTCTCAGCCAGCCATGATCATTCTTTCTCCCTTTTTAGAAGTTCTTCTAGGAGCCTAAGGGTAAGCAACTTGTTGCATAGTGTTTCCCTGGAGACACTATTTGGCATGGGCAGTTGACCTGAACTGGCCAATCAGACTGAAAGGAGAGACTTTTCTTCCATGGTGAGGAGAGGGGCCCACTTTGTCCTTTCTCATCAGATGTGAACAGGAGAGCATGCAGCCCAGTTGTTACTAGCAGCAGATTCAAGTGGAACAAGCCTCATGCTGGTGTGGTCTGTGGAGGGCAGGACAGAGATATGGAGAGAAGCTGGTCCACAGGATATCATTGTGTCACTGAACCATCAGTGTTGCGGAGTTCATCTACTTCCTGTCATGCTAGATGATAAATGTTTTCACTTTTATAAATAATAATATAGTATATTT